GTTTATTGGATTCTGGTATGGATAGGTTGCGGAGTATTTTCCATTTGGATTTGGAATCAGGAGCATTGGAAAGGGCATTATGGAAGTAGTTGGATTTAGCCAGTCGGCTGGCAGCTGGCAAACGGGTTCGACGGTATTTGCGCCTTGCTGCATCCCTTCTTTTCATCATTTCCTTTATTTCAGGAGTCAGCCAAGGTGCAGTGGGGCGACGTAAGGTTTTAATTTTCAGAGGAGCATGGGAGTCTAATAAGGATTGTAGGTTTGAGGTTAGGGTAGATGCCATAGGATCAATAGAGTCATAGGAAGATGTCCCATTGGAAAGAATCAAGGTCAGGTTGCAGGGATTCATAGGACAGAAGGTTTAAATTACGGCATGAAACTATTTTGGGAGTAAAGGATTTCACGGGTAGATCGTATGTAATTTGGATCAGGCCGTGTGATGAAAGAAATGGGGCAGGGTGTTGGGAAGAGGAGAGGATTTTGATGTGCGAGTCAGAGATGTAGAGGTCCTACCAGGTGTCGGAAAATTGCGTGTGATGGGTAGAGGAATAAGGAACCAGATAAAGATTAAGGGAGAACAATAGGTCGGTTAGGAAGTATTTTTCAGGAGATTGTGAAAGCATATTCACGTTGATGTCGCCGGTGATAATAACATTGGTACAGTTGGAAACCAGGTTAATGAGGGAAGATTCAAAGAGGTTGTCAAATGAAACAGGAGGAGGGCGGTAAACTACGGCATACAACAGAGGAGAGGGAATAGAGGAAATTTCAACGAACATGTATTCCACGGGAGGAAAATCATGATGAGGAGACTCTAGAAGGATTTTGGCCTTAAGACTGTCATGGATATATAATCCAACACCACCTCCCGTGCGATGAGATCTATCTTGACGTAGGAACGAGTAATCGGGTAAGGAAATCTGGGAGGATGGGATAAAAGGTTTTAGCCAGGTTTCAGATACTGCTTTAATGTGGTAAAAATTGTCAAGGAAATATTTTTGGGATTCATCGTAGTGTGCTATAAGGGATTGTGGGTTGATGTGACAGGAATTCAGGATATTAGTCATAACAGGATAGTTGGGAAGAAGTACTTTGGTGAAAAGGATCGAGGATAAAGGTTAGGATATAACACTTTTTTAAACAAATATTCCGTTTGAAAAAAATCTAAAAAAAAAACAATGAATTTTCAGTATTTCCAAATAAATATTCTGTTAAGTTTAGTTTATAGCATAGAAAAATATAAATATCCCCTTGTTTTAAATACATTAATAAAGTTTGGTAAATAACCAAATAAAGGTCTAAATCATCACTACAAAAATAAAGAAAGCTAAAAATAAAAAAGATTAAAATTAAAATATTTCTGGCGAAAACAAATGTATACAAAAAAAAAAAAGGCTTCAATATAAATAAAAAATAAAAAAAAGCTACATTTATGCAAAAAAAAAAAAAACCTGAATTAAAAAAAATAAAATAAGTATATTTATGGCGAAAATAAATGTATACAAAAATAAAAAAAGCTTCAATACAAACAAAAAAATAAAAACATCTGGCGTGTCCACGCACACGACTTTCCTACCTATTTCAGAAAAGTTTTTATATCTTTACATATGTTCATGAAGAAACAAAAAAGAATTGATCTAAATTTACTTTCCTGAAAATTAAACAAACAAAAGATTTGAGTACGATTTATTTGATAAATTAAGGCAATGAAACCAGCTTAAGGCAGATCAGTGTCAAAAATTCAAAAACTTTTTGCCATAGCTTAGTATTGTCAAACAATAATTTCTGTTAATAGTAGAGGAAATAGTGAAGGTTGTGTGATGCGTGCAACAGAATTTCTTAATTTCACTTAGTCATCTTTATTCTCTTATTCGCCCCTTTCTGACACCAGGCAATGAACTCGTAATCTTTCATTGGGAATTGAATCGCTGTAACTTCGTTAATAACTGTCCAAAATGAACGATTTTTATATGGCCTTGTAGGGCATTTAATTACCTTTCAAACGATAGGCTAAACGGCTGTTTTTGTTTTTCATCGTATAATATATACTTAGGGAGTTAGGCCCCATAACATTTTTCTTTTTCCTTATAACTTTTTTTCCTGAATTTTTTGGGGAATTTAGTTTATATAAGAAAGTTGAAAGGACAGTGATTAGAACATTATAGGAAAGTTTCATCAAAATCGTTGGAGCCATTTTTGCGCTACAGTCTATACAAAAACATGTTTTTCATTTATTGCGCGCAAGCTATTGCGCATGGAGCAATAAATTTCTGTCACAGCCATCAGTAGTCGAAACCCTACAAAATAAAAAAAGAAGCAACAAAATCGGTTCAGTAGTTCCCGAGAAAATCTTGGCACAGACAGACAGACCAATGGCTAAAAATGTGTTTTTCGGACTCAAGGGGCTGTGAAACGTATAGATCCGTCGAAAACCGCATGTCGGAAATTTGACCCGATTGCAATACTTTCCTTACCCAGTATAGGTAGGAAAGTAAAAAAAAGCTACATTCATATAAAAATAAAAATAAAACCTAAAGAAAATAAAGTAAAAATATTTCTGGCGAAAAAAAAAAATTAAATGCAGACTCAGGGTAACTTGTAAACCACGTTCAACTGAATAAGTCCAGGTCACTGGGTTTTCCTATCATCACTGGTGGGTATCCATCTGACTGTCTGCAGCGTATTTTTCCGCCACTAAACCAAATATATTTTATTTTTGCAGTAAATTTCTTCTGCCTGGCTAACTAATAGAGGTGTTTGTTGGTGGGCATCATGGCTTCACTCACATAAACGCGGTGAGATTCTCTCCCCAGCCTAGATGTGTGGAGAAATCTCTCTTTGTTCTTCGCTGCCGCACTAGCTCATCTTTCATCGTCTGTCGAACAAATCTTGCTATGATTGGGCCTGGAGTCCCTTCTTGCTTGGGCTTGAGTCTCACGGCGTGATCAAGATCTTCCGGACTCAGCTTGACGCCCAGACCCGCTCCGATGCTAAGAATTGTGCCAGTCACCGTTTCACCCGACTTCTCCGGGCTTCCTCTTATTTCTATAGTATTTTTTAACTGAAATTGTTCTGTGGAGTTCAGTCGACTTTCCAGATCTGATATTTTTGTTTTTAGCCTATTATTTTCTATAGTTAAGTTTTCGACATGAGTTTTCTGGTCTTCTAAAAGTGTTTCATTTTTAGTAGCCGGTCCATGTTTTCAAATGATAGGTCCGACTGCTTCTGAAGGGTTTCCTTTATTTCCTGACTTCCTCTGTCAGCGCCCTCAGTGGTTCAAGTATATTACTAGAGTCAGCAGCTGGCAACGTACTCGATGATATTTTTTGCTGATCTCTTTTAGGCCTTCTAAGTCCGTGAAATCGATTTTCACAGATTTCGCGTGAAATATGTTTTGGCATGAGACACAAATTAATTTAGTTTAGTAAGTAAAGTATAACATACTTTAGCTAAAGAAAAAAATGTAGTTATTTTGCTGGTAGTAGTCAGTTGTAACACAAACATGCCAAGCTCCTTACTACTACCAACGCTTACATTGCCTAATAGGCAGGTCAGGGTTTTGAAACTTCCTGACATATCCTTCTCAGCGTCATTCAAGAACTCTGATTGATACCAGGAAGTGTTTTTAAGTAGGCGAACCATGAAACAAATTTTGATGTTTCGATACTATAGAACCGGACGTAATACGATTTTTTGTCAATTTCTAACATCATGCTGAATGGTCTATTTTAATTAATTGATATCACACCTTACCGCGGCATAAAATTTAAGTACTTCTCAAGAGCAGCAACATTTTCGAACCGATGAAGGTAAATTGATTTTTCCTAATTCACTCACATTCATTTTTATTTGAATTCACAGTGCGGTAGTTTTTGTCCCTTCCAAACCGTTGTTACTGTTTCGTGTCTTGGAATCCTTACAGATGGCACTAGTATGCCCTGGGATAGTTGCGTGTACAAAGGTTTCTTCTGTAGTTTCTTCATAGTGACCACAAACAACAATTACAGCTAGTTGTGAATGCCGACCGTTTTCGAAATTGATTGGCACTCATGGTAATGCCTCCATAAAAACAAGGTAGGTTTTATTATTTATTAACATAATGAAGATGGTTTAGTTAAAATTTGGCGGAAATTGGTTCGGTAGGTTTTGTGGTAAGTCATTGCAAACGAAATATTCGGAAATCTACTTTTACCAACCCTCGTAACTTTTTTTTTCCAGCTTCTTTTCGTCGAAGTATGTTATATAGATAAATTTAATGGCATCGAGAAGAATACTTTAGCCTAATTTGATTAAAGTTATTCACGGTACATTCGCTTAAATGCTACAGTCTATACACATAGGTTTTATTCAACACAGTTTTTTTGGCCGCCATCTTCAAAGGAAAAGGCGGATCGTTATGTCGATGCAGGAGGATCATCCTTGGGTGACCTCTGATTTTAAATCCACATTTTAAAAAAATTGGTCTAGTATTTTCTAATTCTACGTATCCTGAAACGCGAAATCTCAAATTTTGAGGGGAGGGGGAGTAAGTTTTTGAATTTTTTGGTCGATTACAATGCTTCATTATTGAAAATAGTAAACCAAAACTGGCAACATTTTTTTATAACAGAATGGTTATAAATTTGTCTATATCATATGGTGTGATAAAGCTAATATAAATTAATATTATTATGTAAATTATAAATGACTAACTTCAATTACTTCTCGGATTAAATTAGTTGTATATTATATTTTATCAGTTCAAATTTATAATCATGAGTTACCCAAATAGTATTTTAAATCAATCAAGAATAGAGGAAAGCCATCATAGAAACGAGAATATTATGAACTGGGATTTATTTTTGGATGAAGGAAAGAGAGAGTTCTATAAAAGGTATGATTCAAAAGCTAGTGGAAAAGAATATAGGAGAAATGATTTCATGTTTATAAGGACAATTGGTGAGGGTGCATTCAGTCGGGTTTACTTAACCAGAATAAGTAACCAACGCAAACACTATGCAATGAAAGTTATGGATAAAATGAAAATTCAAAAACTAGGGGAAACAAGACACATAATAGATGAAAAGAAAATCCTTCAGTCTTTAAACTTTCCATTTTGTGTCCACTTAGAAACGTCTTTCAAGGATAACAGGTACGTGTATCTTCTCCTTCCTTTCATTCCAGGCGGTGAAATGTTCAGGCATTTGCACCGCCAGAAGAGATACGATGAAAGACTCTCCAAATTTTATGGTGCCCAGATACTGCTGGCATTCGAGTACTTACATCATTGTGATATCATCTATAGGGATCTCAAGCCAGAGAATATAGTCATTGACGTTGATGGATACTTGAAGTTGACGGATTTCGGTTTCAGTAAAAGAATAACTAATAGGACATATACAGTATGTGGTACACCTGATTATCTAGCTCCAGAGCTCCTGGTACAGAAGGGTTACGGAAAATCTGTGGACTGGTGGACGTTCGGCATCCTTCTTTTCGAAATGACCGCCGGTAACCCACCTTTTCAGGCAAAACAGTTGATGAGAATTTGTCGAAACATTCTTTGCTGCAAATATATGATGCCACAATTTTTCTCAAATGATCTAAGACATTTGATTGAAAATTTATTACAGCCTGATGTTACAAAACGGTACGGCTGCAGGAAGGAAGGAATCAGCGACTTAAAGGATCATTCATGGTTCAATGACATTTCATGGCTAAATATTCTCAATCGCCAGGTAACAGCTCCATTCATTCCAACTGTGAAAGGTGAAGGAGATTCTTCTAACTTTGGTCGCTTCCAGGAAGTGAGAATTGAAGTAGCAATGAAAGATTATCTTGAGAAAGAATTTGAAGAATTCTAAACCTAAGAATTCTATAAAAATGAAATATTTGAATCATCGATATATGATCAATATTGATCAGCATATTAATTAATGTATCCATGCAATGTACTCGGCTGGTGAAAAATATCTATTGTTATTATTGAAAAGGAAACACGGATTGAATCAATCATGGAGTAGATAATGCATAGGATCGTAATGCATTTGCTTTTTATCAAAAATAACAAATCGTATTTCAAAAAGTGCTATAATGTCGTAAATTGAATGTTTCATGTAGATAGTAGGTATGGAAAGATTAATATTTTTGTAGTTGTCCAATTTTATTTTTTGCCCTCATCGCAGCCAATACCATAAATGCTATTTGGTTATATATTGGATAGTGTATAAACAAGAACCTTATAATGAGTTGAAATGATATCTATAACAACATGACAAGTTGGTTTGTAAAGTGAGTTGGTAAAACCAACTGAACATTAGGTACAAGTGGTGGCTGAACATACCAACTTTTAATTTTAAATCATATCTCATCAAAGTATTGTCTTATATATAAAAATTATTCGTAATTTCTTGTTGATAATAATGAGTTTTGATTTTGTGGCCGTTTTTAAGGAAAGACAGCGAGGCTCATTGCTTGAAGATTGATATAATGCATCTCCGTCAACTTCCTAATGCAACTTAACCCTGAAATGCGGAGCAAGGAGGAAATAAATAAAACATATATCAGTCATTCGATGCTTTCTTTCCCTTCTATTGATAGGAATAAAGTAGCCTTAACTTAATGTTTAAAAAGTAAAGCTGGATGTATTGTAAGATGTTTATCGGATGGAAAAAAAATTATACAAGAAGGACCTCGATTTTGAAAAAAAATAAAAACCTAGATGTTATCATGACTTGTTTAGAATATGAAAATCACCGTGAAGTTTAATCAAGGTAGGAAAGCAGAAATTATAGATTTATTTATTAATACCTTTTAATCTAATTTACATTAATCTAATTAAGGAACTATGCTAAACAATTTCGAAACGTTGCCATAGTGACATCTGTACTTTACATGTATCAAATTATTCAACACACCACTATATAAGTACAGTTGTACTTTGGAATATGTTAAACCCATTCGCTTTATAAGCTTTCGTGTTATCAGCAAAAGAAAAATAAACGTGTTATAAATTGAAAAGAGTTGTCATAAAAGTTGGAAAAAAAAAATCATAATCCAATGTTAATCCACTGAGAGAATAGTAGATGGTGCCAATAATTGATATAATTATCTCGGGTTGAATTAAGAAACCTTTATATGAACTTTCTAGAACCTTCAATTAACATGAAGAATACCATCTGTGAGAGAAGTTACAACCCCCTTCCTAAGAAAGATTAACAGAAGCATTACGGAAGGATTAATAGCAACAGTGATACCTACTGCGACCGGAAGAAGTTAACGAAAACCTACAATATTGAAATATAATTCCAACAATACCTCTGAGTTGAATAGTTCCTAAAAAATGCAGAAAACTATATGAAGTTTGTACCAGCCAGTTCATCGTTGTTCAAACATGTTTCCGCGTTTGGTTCAAGCTTGCCTGACCCAAGTTGAATCCAAACTAAAGTGGTTTTTACACTAAAAATGCTTTCACGAAATTATCCAACAGACGCTTAAGCGTAAACGACATTTTGTGGTTTAATTATACCCTCTCCAACCAGGATATAATAATATCATTTCCAATCGGTATTTGTGAGCATATGCGAGTACGGAGTACAAATCTAATTGATGTTTGTTAGCATATCAATGTACTAAATACAATGTTAATAATTATTCAGGAACACTTTTGTCAAGAAGTTGTCTGTATCAGTAATTGTGTTTCAGAAATTATTATTTATATTATTTCGTTACTCTCAATTTTCTTCCGTGGCTATAAAGTCTTGAGATATCGCTTTTTCTTAAATCCATAGTTTTTCAGCGATATATTATAAGTATACATTCTGACTATTATATTTGAGAATTCATTTTCTCCCTAAAAAAAATGTTTGCCTTTTTCTCTTTTAATCAATTATAAAGTAAATGGAAGAGAATTATAAACTGGAGACTGTACAGTTGGATGTAAGGAAAAATAAGATCTGTTGGAGGTTTAATATAATGTACAACCATCTCTCCCCAATGGATAGACCCACCTATTTTAATATTAGGAAATAGAATCAGAAAACAAATGAGGCTTTGTTGATAAACTTTTACACCACAAATACACAAAACACTTTTATTCTACTCTACATATCACAGTAACAATGAACAAAGAACTACTACTCTCTGGGTAACCACACCCAAGCCAACCTGCTTTGTTTACAACAGCTCAGCAGTGCTGCCAGATAACATGCATTAACTCTACACACTCCCACCTTTACAATTTATGCTTTGAATTTTAAACTGGTTTAAAATAACAAAACAAAATGTAAAATATTCAATACAAAAATTTACAGATTAAATCATTAATTTAATAACACTTAATAAGCTATTTTAGCAAATGTTTCTGCTTCCTTTTTTAATCCTGATAAGATCAGTGGATATTAAAATTCCGAGATACACTACTCTTGTTAGCTGTTTTTTTTTTTTTTTACCTTTTTTCTTCTCTTCCAGTTTTGGAAAACTTCTTTAGAGGACAATAAAGAATTATTCATACCACCAGTTGTTACTTGTACTCCTCTCCTCGTACTTTTCTGAATAAGATCTGGTTCTGAAGGGGACGTTTGGCTGATGACAGATCTGACACTATCTCTTGCGATGTTCCTGGAAAGAATGTTTTGAGCTGCAGATGTGACGATGGTTTAACTCCACAGGGGTTGTATGACGCGTGGAATGATTGTCTTAAGTGGTACTGATTCGGTCTTCTCGGTAGTGCCATCATCTAGACGACTCCTTTGTCAACTATTGTAATGGGTCAAAGATATTACAGCTTGTCCTGAATGGTGAAACTCACTTGCACTAGAGTCAAAGCGCTGTAAAGGACTCCCTCTAGTTGGTGTTCTTGGAGGCATAGAACAGGTCTGTGTTTTAGTTTGACCAATAACTATCCAACCTAGTCTAGTTTCTGTGGCTATCAAATTTTCAGTTATTGGTTCTATCCTTCCTATCAGATTTTGTACCATGACATCTGCTGCAAGAATCAGCTCTTCTTCTTGCTTGTATCTCCCAGGGATACATAAATAAAGATACAGAGTAATTAAACAGTCATAGTAATAAAATAAAAATTATAAGTTACTTTCTAATTTTAATCAGTTAATAATTAAAAATTAAAAATTAAATAAAAAGGATGAGTAAAAATAATGAAGAACGAGCTAATAATTTATATACATATTTACATTAGTATCTATTTACAATTTCAAAGGGACTGGATGGATAAGAAATTATTGAACAGACAGGATTTAAAGGTAGGAAGGGGATTAGATTGTCGAATATGAGAAGGGATGGAGCTCCAAAGGGATGAGGATCGGCTAATGAAAGATCTGTCGAAAGCAGCGGTTCGGTGGGCCCTTATGTATAAGTCAGAAGACCGGGAATGAGTATTACGGGAGCGAACAGAGGATTTGAATTGAAGGAGCTCAGAGATGTATGAAGTCAAAAATGGGAAACAGAGGCGTCCTCTGGTATCCCGAAGATGAATCTTTCAAAGCAATTTATTAAACGTTTTAGTTTCGTCTCGAGATTCCCAGAGACGCCCTCATATACCGAACAGCAATAGTCAAAATGGGGGAAAATTAAAGAACTGACTAGGAGAATACGGGTTTCAAATGGAAATAGGGAACGAGAATAATTTAGACGTTTTAGAGTGGAAATGGTACAGCGGAAAATATTGGATACATGGTTTTTCCAGGAAAGTGTTTGATCGAAGGTTATTCCACGGTTTTTGGCGGTGGGATGAAATTTGATGGGATTATCATGTAGGAATAGAATTGGAATATTAGGAACGGTTTTAAGGAGGTAATTGGAGCCTATTAAGATTGCCTTCGTCTTTCCCGCATTCAACTTCAACTTGTTAGTTCTCGTCCAGTCACAAATCCTATCCAAGTCTTCTTGTAGTTTCTCTGTGGCAGATAATAGGTCGGAGGGTGGGAAGGACAGGTATATTTGGAAATCATATGCATAGATATAGTATTGGGAGTGATGGATCTTGAAGGGAAGGTCATTAATGTAGATAGCAAACAGAGTAGGAGATAGAGAGGAACCTTGAGGGACACCACAGGAGAGGGGAAGGGTCTTGGATGAAGGTTGGCCTGGGACTACTACATACTGGGACCGATTTGAAAGGAAGGATTTGAACCAGCGCAGGGCACTGTTGGATAGAGGAAGATTGTGCAATTTCGTAAGGAGGATCTTATGGTCAAATGTGTCGAACGCTTTGGAAAAATCTAGAAGGATGAGGATGGTAAGGTTTTGGTGTTCGATGGAGTTTTGGAGGTCATTGGTTATTTTAAGGAGAGCGGATTGCGTTGAGTAACCAGGCATCGGACTTGGATATTGCCAAGTTCTTTTGCTTATATTATTCTAAGGCTGGTAATTATTATGCTAAGGAATGAGAAAAACGAATCAGAAAACTAGCTAATTTTTCCCAATTCTCAGCTACCAAGTTAAACTCAGTCATTGAAAAAATGTCAAATGATATTCTTACGGAATTCACGAAAAATCTTAGGCGATGTGGAAGCGGGAAACTGTTCTGCACTTTATGTATATAACCTGGGAAAAGGGAATGCCAAGTGTGTGTTATAGGAAAAGTTACAGTAACATCGCAGGCATATAAATGTAATTGTAATTTCAGTTTCGTGCGGCTTTTCGTTTTTTACGTAAGTTGTTCATATACCATTTTCTGGGACTTTAATTTTCTGTTGACATTACAGACCATGTAGATCTTTTGCCGCCTCAACAAACCTGCTCCATCTCTGCCAGTCTTCGGCTATTTCTTTACTTTTATCTCTAAGCAGCTCTGTTGCATCTTTGTCCATTCTATCTATCCATCTGCTTTTTGGACTTCCAAGTTCACCGCTTGGCTTCTATTAAGGCATTCATTGTCAAGTTGAGGCTTCCGGGTGGATTCCTGCGAGCTACATGTCCCGCCCATCTTAACCTCCGTTATCATGGGATATTTATTGATTGACCAGTTTCTGTCAGCAGTTCTTTATTGGTCTTTCTTAAAACTCGGATTCGAAATTTTTGACGATCGTAATACTCTCCCATAGTTTATATTACGTATATAGATAATTGAAAGTAAAAAACAGCATTAGTATTTGTGCCATGAAACACTTTAGGAATTACCATGACGACCATGGGAATCACCATAGTTGAATATAAATATAGCATAGAGATCTGATATGTAGTTTTCAAAGAAATCCGTTATAGCAACACTATACAACAACGTCTTTCTTTTATTGTAGAGAAAGCACAACTCGACTGGGAGAGGTTAGATACCTATTCATTATGACGCCGGTGTCAGGAACGGAATTATTTTGATATTGATTTTTTGATCATCATTTTCCACTGTGAAAAGCATCCCACAGGCAACGGGAATATACACTCTTACTTTGTTGAACGACATCAGAACGGTGTCAGTCTTTAATACTATGATACTGTTCGTCTTAAGTGCTTCTCAGATCGTATGTGACGTAATTTTTATGAGAAGCTGCTGAGTTTGGACTCTTTCTCCCGAACAAAATGTCGGGATTTTATATTATGTATACAATTATGAGTGATAGTTAACATAGCATAATTATTGTAAAACAAACCATATAATACAAACCACATGAAACGATGTTCTCGCCTCCTCTCTATATTTATTGGGGGCGGTCGCAACCATTGCACACATATAACAGGCAACAAATTTTGAAATGTTTAAGCCAACCACGTTTTATGTTGAATAAAAAGCTATAACTAAAAAAATGTTTAGTTTTGATTGAAGCCAATTACTTCATAGTATACTAGATTAAATGCAAATAAAATTTGTCTTTTTTAAAACTATTTAAAGGGGACTTTTAAACAGTTAAACTAAGGTTTAACTTGATTTTTTTTTTCATAACATCAAGAATTCTTCGCGATTTTTTTTTATAACCCCCCTGAACTGGACTGAAGATACCACATATTCAGAAAAATTTCCTTGTTTGATGAGGTTTAAGTCTACATTAATTATGTTGAGTTTAAATTTTCTCTAATTGTGCAAACATATTATTAGTACGGTAAAATTAGTAATCGATCTAAATATTTTTATTCAATTAGAATTGAATCTCAACTTACTCTCTAATTAACCACAGCTTAATCAATATAGACTTAACAAAAGTTTTATTCTGATAAAAGCGAATGAGTATTGAGTTTTTACTTTTGCCTCAAGTAGGGTAAAATAAGTTGAGGATGCATCATGGTTAGTCTTATTAGGTTTCCAAGGTAACCAATCTTCTACTTCAAGCCTTTAGCAGATTAACTTGTCCCACCTTCCATTGGACTACATGATCCTCCTGAGTTGAAGAGCCATTCAGCAATTGAACCAAATTTAATTGATTTTCTTCTAAAACCTCTAATGCGAGCATTTTTATATATGTATTCATTATACAAGCAAGAACCATTAATTATTTAGCTTATTCAAACGAATAACGTTGTGCGAAAACAAAATAAATGTGTCTAGTATCTTCAGGGCATCATAATGTCTCATAAGTATTAATAATTTCTCTCTAATAATTTAATAATGTCTCATAACAATAATAATCTGATAAAATATAATAACGTAAAAATTTTAGTTGGCTTGTACTAGAGATGTAGGTGAAGTTAAAATAATTCATTTACAATTTGAAAAATAATTTTCATCTTATCTAAAGTTCAGAAAAGTTCTATTAACTAATCCGCTTAACACATTGCAGTTATAGGTTAATAAATAACTAAAACTAGAGTAGCAATAACAAATAAATTTATATAAAAACTACCATTTATGGAATGAAACAACGAAGAAATACTTCTAATGTGATGAACACTTATTTCTATTTGAGGCTAGTTCTTCTATAGAAACTAGATCAAGATTATCCTACTCTATGGCTTTAAACAGAAACCAAGAAATTATGTATTTACTGTCTTCTGGAAATGAAAGTAGTTGCAGGTAAAGGTCGGTATAGTTTCCAAACAATTTCATAATTTATATCATATCTAAACTAATTAGTATTAACCTATTTTCAGATGATAAACTAAAAAATAACATCAAAGTATGGGTATTCGTTTTTAAAAATATTATTTAATATAGGTTACATTTTCGAGACTGCATTTCATTCTCAATTGATAAATGTAGTAGTATTTTATCTTCTAAAGGTGGTTTATTTACTTTAAAATAATGGGAGATAAGGATATTTAAGGAATGTAAAATGTAATATGTAAGCCCATAACCATTTCACATTAGCCCTGTAAAGACTGTTCTACATTCCTTCAGGAAAAACAAACTAATATTTAACTTCATACTGAAATTCCAGTCAAGTTCTAAGGAATATCCATCGAGCAGATGCCTGGAATACTCATTGATATCTCCTGTTAGTTTTCTATATTAGGTTATTATGTGAAAAATTGAGATGAAATAAACGCGTTTCACTTCTTACACTAAAGCTTTCCTTTGGTAAAATATTAATTTCATAAATTCTTCTAATAAACATAATCTGAAAAACCTCTGACAAGAGGCCACAGGAAATCCTCACGTAAGAAAACATTACTGTTGTGCCATGAACGAAGTTTTAGTTAATCTAATAGGTTCCCCGCCAGTGTAAGAGTGCAGCTTCGTTTTCAAGTGCAGCACCAATCTAATAATGAACCAACTAATATTACATACATACCAGTAAAATAAGTTAATCTATTTATTGCTGCAATTATAATTTTGTTTTATAATATAATTGCAGCGATGCAGGTTAAGTTATAGTTGGGTGGAACAGACGTCAATTGAGTCTAAAGCACTTTTTACACTCCCACTTCACACTCGATACTTTCCATACTCATATTTTTTACACAGAAACCATTCATATTCCACGTATCTTAGGCCGGCCGAACCAATGCGCAGCTGAGCGGAGCTTACCTTAATACTTAATAGCCTGCCATTTTCAAGCTAATGCAGAATAATTCAAGGTTAACGATCTGATGAAAGAACTAGCTGACCCAGCCGTGGGGCGCCTCTCACCTCCCTGGAAACTTCCAAAAAAAGTTCCAAAAAGCAGCTAAAGAAGAGAGAAATATAGGGGAAATTCATCATCATAGACAATGAATTTCCTAATGTTATATAAAAAAAAATATTATCGTGACCAGCTCTAGCGAATTCTGGCAGGGAAGGGGCGCCGTCTCTTGGATGTTGAAAAAAAAATTCCAAAAAAAAATATCCAAAAACAGGTTTTTAAATAAAAGAGAAATATAGGAAAAAATCATCCTCTAATACGAATTTCCTAATGTAGTATATAAAAAAATATTATCGTGACCAGCACTAGCTAATTCCGCCAGGGGGCGTGCCCCTCTCTTGTATGCTAGAAAAAAATTTCCAAAAAAACACCTATATAAAGAAAAATGCAATGTAGAGAAAATTTATCCTCATACTCGAATTTCCTAATGTAATATAAAAAAAAATATTATTATCCTTACTAGCACTAGCGAATTCTGCCAGGAGGAGAGCCTTCCCTTGGTTGGCGGAAAAAAAAAAAAAAAAAACCCAAAAAACATCTATTTAAAGAAAAGAGAAATATAGGAAAAATTCATCCTTTAAGACGGATTTTCTAATGGGATATCAAAAAAATATTATCGGCAGGGTTTTTGTTGAATAGGAAATGATAACGAAAAAAATCTTTAATTTAAGTAATTAATGATTGCTACACTGTAAACTAGACAAAATTTACTTTAAATAAATATAGAGTTTGCTTTTGTTAAAACCAATTAAAGTGGACTTTTGAGCCGCTGAACTCAGCTAAGGAGTGTGGGAGATTGTTAGTGGGGGGGGAAGGGGTAGGAGTGGAGGAAGCATGTGGTACAGAGGTGTGCCTTCCTCCCCCCTGAAAAAGTTCCTGGATCAGCCACTGGCTGAAAGTGTTCCTTCTTTTCTATCCTTCCTCCTAATTTATTTATATCCAAATGTTGTCTTGAGTTTGGCCGATGATATTTGAAATTTGTCTCTTAATCCCGCATTCAAAATTAAGATTATTTCTGATTCTAAATATTTTCCTATAAATAATGATTGTTTGTGACTGGCAAAATCATTAAAATGTCCCTTGTTACTGGTAAGTAGTAGATCACCAATTATTACACAATATAATTATGTTAAATACTTTGTTAATATTTCAATATTACAAAAGAACTAGCAAGGAAAGGTTTTTGTAATACCATATATAACTTTATTCAACAAATTTATGTATGTATATGTTTTTTTTTGAGAATAGTGATTAATTTCTAGCATGAAGTTAAATGATGGTAAAGTAGAACCAAGAGAAGCACTGGAAGATTGTAAAGTGAATCCAACATCGTAAGTGTGAACTTGAATTATTGGTACTAAAAGTAAAAACTGTAGCTCTGTTAAGTAAAAAATTTTTTAAATAGAAATTTTACAATGTGAATACTTATTTTCTTCTAGTAATTCGATGGAATCATTAATTTATTTAAACAAGTTGCACTCACATATACAAATAATTTACATATTATGAATAATATATTTTATATTAATCATTTTCCAGGGATTTAGATGCATTACTGCACGTTATTAAGAGCAGTTTAAGCACAGGAGTTCTAGCAATAGCAAATGGATTTAAAAATGCAGGATTGTTGCTAGGAATTATAGGGACAATTTCAATTGGCATTTTATGCACTCATTGTGCTTATATCATGGTACCAAGATGTAATTTTATTTTATTTTTTTCTTAATCTTTCGTAGCTCTATAAGCAATATTTTTCATGTAATTTTCAGATATATCAATTACTGTGTAATTTATAACAACTGTATATCAACAATATTTGCCCTGTTATTTAATTGATTGTTATGTAATAACATCTAATTATTATTTTGTTTGATTTACTTATAATTTTTGTTTATGATTTCAGTCTACATTCTAAATTTTCCTAATTAAAATAATCTGTAGTGGACCAGATTGGTATTGATTGTAGGCTAGTCTTGAGGGGACAGGGGAGGGGTATAGCCAATCATCCTTGAGGGGAAAGGGGTACTGTAGTCAACTTACAATAGATTTTTTTGTCTGATGAGGTTTGTATTCGAGAAGGGAACTGATGAAACAAACTATTAAAGTGTTTATTGATGAATGAGAGATAAAAAAGTGAACAATAAATAGGACATCATATAATTTCCAATATTAGATCAAAAAGTATGAAATTTTCAAACAAAAAATAGATCCAGTAAACTATGAATCTACATCTGTGGGACTACTTTTGCGCCCAAAAGCGAACATTACTAGTTCTGTTTGTTCTCATCCATTAGCGTGGATTCCCTATTTTGAATTTTTAGTTCATATTAGAAATAAAAGTTTTAAAAATGGAAATAGAAAGTTACTGATTGTTTTGACAAGAAAATAAAAATAAAACATAGGTAATAATTGGTAAATTTAAATTACAGTTGAGAAAAGATTGAGAGACTTCAGCCCAAAGGTGCCCAGAAGGGGGTTTAAGCGCCATCAAAATTTTTGAGCGGGGCACATTTTGAAGGGGTTTTGAATTTTTGGATTGCAAAGTTTCAAACCAGTGGACAAGAGAATATAGAACTAAATATATATAGAGAGAAGTATAGTACAGACCAATGAAAGTGTAATTGTATAAGACCTATGAGTTTTAAAATTAGTTTGCACTGTTTTTAAGAAGAGAAGGGAAATAGAGTATCTAAGAAGGATTGGGGGGATCATACGCTATCTATCTTGGAGGGGATGCGCACCCCTGCTTCAGCCAAAGAGTGAGCTTTCTAATTGAGAAAATATATTAAATTAATTTGAATACAACCACAATTAAATTTATATTGAATTAATTAAGATCATAAAAGTTGTATTTATATTTATTTCTGAAGAATATGTGATTTATAATCCAAAATTTTATTCAATAAATTTTTCCTTCTAGATCGACTGTCGACCTCACTAGTGACTCCAAACTGAGTCTCGCAGGTGAAGTACATGCTGGAGGAAATGGATTAATTATTTAATTGGTTAATTTATAAAAATAATTGAACTTTTTGAAAAATAGTTCGAACATTTATTCTTGCACAAGAAAATACTTTACTACTTTCTAGATATTTTAAAGATGAGTTATGGGAAATGAATAAATTTCTCACCTTAATAATTCAACTATTTTTTTTTCTGTTCTATTAAATCCGGAAACACTGCAATCTTGAACATTAGGGCGCAATGAAAAACACTGTTTTCGTTCTGTAAAACATTCTAATGGCAATCAAAAGTTGCCTTTTTATGTGTAAAAAATTATGTTGTTCATTATTTAATCGATAAAACTACTGTATTTTACAGTCATTTAATTATTGACTGTATTTTAAAGTCATCCACATCCTGTCACAATTTCTTGACAAAACACTTGCAATGCAAATGGAAACATTGTTTTCAATAAATAGTTTATACAACTGATTCTTAATTCCCCCATTTCAACCAAAATTAACCAAAAGATTGTACTTGTGGTCTACAAATTTGTAACTAATAAAAATTATCAGCTTTAATTTATTTCTGGCCTCACTTAAAAGTTTTAACATTTAACAACTAAATTTAGCATCATACCACCACAGGTAAAATTTTAATTAATTTTTTAATGTATAGTACAAAGTATTTTTTTTTTAAAATTAAAATGTGTTATTCTAAAATATTTTACAAAAAAAAAATTAAATTATTTACAGGTAAAGTCTGCTCAGGATCTCTGCCAGATAATGAAAAGGCCTTTCCTTGGGTATACTGAAACAGTTGAGCATGCAATGCTGAATTGTGCGAAGAAAAAATTTAGCCATTATGCTAGATTCACTAAGTATGTTATAACTTCTTTTGTTATACACTTTTAGTTCCTTTCAGTATAGGGAATGTTTAGCCAGAACTCCCACTGTTCTCTAATCCTGTCTTGTAAGGAATTTGATTTCCCTTCTGGTACTTGTTGTCTTTCACCCTGATGGGATACCTAATCTACTTTAATTGGTGGCACTTTAAGGGTTTTCTTCATTGAGGCACAATGGAGTATCTCTCATAGCAAATGACGTTCACCTTAGAAGAGTAGAGCTATACAAACTTGAAGATGTGGAGCTTCACTTTTTATCTGACTTCTCATTTCCCAATTCTTGTATTACAGATCTGATGGTAGATTAAATTCATTTTGTTTGTTCTCTCTATAATTTCTGTCTACTTTCTCTGATATATCCATAACTGTTCCAACTACTTCTTTTTCTCTCCCACTGTTTATATATTGATTCCTTCCTTACATGATCTGCTTGCTGTCACTCCCATTACATATATCTGGATCTGATTTCCACTGACAAAATTTTTCCCCAGAGGAACATTCTCTATTTGTCTTGCTATTTCATCTGAATGTAGTATAAATAGCAAGAGACTTAAACTGCCATTTTGTTGGAATCTCCCTTGATATGAAAATATTCTAGCTTGTTGAATGATGAAAATAGAAAAAAATGAGATATGAAAGATATAATAGTTGGTGTACATTAAAAAAAAAAAAAAAAACTATCAAAGCATAAATCAAGAATATAGAAATTTGACAAGTCAATAGAATAGACAGTAACACAGCAAATAACGTAGGTGTGACGATAATCATAAGTAAACATCATGCATTCAAGAGGAAAATAAAAGATATTTACAGATTCTCTATACAAAACATATCCACCAAGTTACATAAAAGGCCTTCAAAATTTATAAAATTCTCACCTCTTGAAGGGGGAGATTGTTGAGTGCTAAATCTCTCATGTAGCGTTTCCAGTTGCTCAATAGGTCTACTCAATTTTGATGGTAGTCTACTTTATTACTAAATAGTGATTTCTCATTAAAATGGGTTTTCGGATACTTGTTTAGCGATTCAGTATTTTTGTTAAATTGATAAGAAACTTTTTTGTGTAGTGGTAACAAACATGGCTAATTAATTTATAGTTCATAAATTGATGCAGTTTCTCATAAAATCCAAAATATTAAATAGAGTTAAAATTAATGAGAAAGGATGTCTTATTGTTTTAAATATTATATTTTTTATATTAAAAAAATTGAATAAGAGTTTGAAATTGAGTCACAACCTAAACTATGCTTTAAATATTTTATTTTAATTATGAGGCTCCTGAAATTGAAAATCAGGAAATGTTCCCAGCATTGCCGACTTCACCTTCCCTCGTCATCCAGCAACAACCACCCATCTCTACAGCTAAGGACTCGCCTCACCAGAATCTCAGAAATTCTCACTCACAGTCTTCCATCAGTAAAAAGCAGCCTCAACGTCAGGCGCCTCAGGCCTCCCAATACAAGCCCAAAATCTCTAATCCTCAGCCTCAATCCTCGTCAGCAAATCCCTCCTCATCATCTACCCTTAAGAGTCAAACTCCCGCCAGAGCACCCACATCCAGCTCCATTCGTGCCTAATCCCAGGATGAACCCACCTCCAGAAGTAAAACAGAATTTAGATCCTTCTGCTAGTACCCCACGACGGAACCATCCCCCACCCAACATTCCTAGTCACATAACTTACCCATCACAACCTCCGGATCCAAATCCACTTCCCAGTCAAACACCATCCGACATCAACACTATCCTATCGTCATTCCTGATAGATCTTCAACAGACTATCAAACCGCTCATAACCCTTCTAACCAGACTCCTTTCCCAAATCCCGCTTGACTTCCCTCAATGAACACAAAGCCCCTAGCTATTCTCTTATGGAACGCTAATGGACTGCAAAACCACCATGACGAACTAGACATATTTCTCCATGACAATTATATTGACATTTCCCTCCTAACAGAAACTCACTTCACCCCACGGACACATTTCTACATACGTGACTACACCACCTATAGATCTGACCACCCAGACAACACTGCCCACGCCGGTTCTTGCATCCTTATCCATAAATCTTTAACCCATTCCCTTATTCCTTCCATTCCAACAGATGCCATTCAGTCAACTTCTGTAATCCTCTCAACTCGTCCTTTCCATCTAACACTTTCAGCTGTATACTGTCCTCCTGGCAATTCCCTCTCATATAGCCTACTTGAATCCTTATTACAATCCCTCGGATCGCGCTTTATTGCTGGAGGAGATTACCAACGATGGGGTTGTCGATCATCCAACTCCCGTGGTAATACCCTTTCACGAGTTTCTTCTTCCAATAATTATTCCATCCTCTCGCCCAAGACTCCTACTTATTTTCCAACATCCCTCAAAAAACATCCCGATATCCTGGACATATTTATTACCTCCCAGATTTCCTCCTCCCAAGCCATTATCAAATCCCTGGATGACCTTTCATCAGATCATAGTCCAGTTCTGCTTTTACTACATTCAAACCTTGCTCCTAAACCCTTACTTCCTAACTTGATTACAGGATGAGTAGACTGGGACAAATTTCGCGATGATCTGGAAAATAAACTGGACTTGAAAATTCCGCTTAAGACAAAACAAGAGATTTACATAGCCATAGAAAAACTTACCATATCAATAACAACCACTATAAATGATAATAGTTCCGTCAATAAACGAAATAACTCACGACATATTAACTTGCCACAGCATATTCGAATCTTATTAAGGGAAAAACGCAGAGCGAGATCGAAGTGGCACAGGACTAGATATCCTTCAGATAAAAAGTACTATACGGAATTGACTAACAAACTAAAAGCAGAAATTAGGAAATTTAAAGCTCAAAAATTACTTAACCTAACTGAAAAACTTACAACCACTGACAAATCACTATGGATGACCACAAAAAAACTTCTCAAGTTCCAAGACTTTAATCACCCACTACTTATTGATTCCCAAACCTGGTCCAAATCCGACGAAGAAAAAGCCCAATTATTTGGTCAACATCTCTTCCAAACTTTTAACCCACATCCCGATATCCTTCATTCAACTCACATTGATTGTATTGAAGCAGAACTGGATATTCCTCTCCAAATGTCCTTGCCACCCAAAGCATTTCATCCCACAGAAATATCCAACATCATTAAAAAATTACCCTCCCGTAAAGCTCCTGGACATGACCTAATTACATCCCAGATCCTAAAACTTCTACCTCGAAAAGCCATCCTATTCCTTACTTACATATATAATGCTGTACTCCGTTCCACATATTTTCCTGATCCTTGGAAACGATCTATTGTTAAAATGGTCCACAAACCAAAAAAACCACCAGAATACCCATCCTCTTACCGTCCTATCTCTCTTTTAACCATCATGGGCAAAATCCTAGAAAAACTCATCTTAAAACGCCTGTACCCTATCCTAAATTCTAAACACATAATCCCAGATCACCAATTTGGATTCCGCACTTCCCATTCCACTATACAGCAATGTCATCGTGTGGTAGACGTAGTCTCCTCTGCATTAGAGCGCGGAATGTACTGTACGGGAGTCTTTCTCCACGTTGAACAAGCGTTTGATAGAGTTTGGCATCTGGGACTACTGTACAAACTCCGAAAATTCATACTACCTACATACTTCCTCATTATCCGTTCCTACCTTACTGATAGATACTTTAAAGTAAATCACAAAAACGCCTATTCATCCCTTTTTTCCGAGTCCGCTGGTGTTCCTCAAGGTAGTATCCTAGGTCCTATCCTCTATACAGTTTATACAGCTGACATCCGTACCTATCCCAACACTGTCATCACCACATATGCCGATGACACATGTATCCTATCAGTAAATAATGACCCAGCAATTGCATCCCAAATGCTTCAATCACACATCATAAATCTAGAAGAATGGTGTCAAAACTGGAGAATTAAAATAAACTCCAATAAATCCCACCAAATTACCTTTACCCTTCGTCGTAAACCAACAACTTCCTGTTCTACAGTTTCCTTTAACAATACTCCACTTATCACTGTTGAGCAAATCCGATATCTAGGACTCCACCTGGACAAACGACTAACTTGGAATCCTCATACTAGACTGAAGCGACAAGAAACCGCTCGACGTTTCCGATTACTTCAGCACTTACTAGACAAACGTTCTAATCTTCCAATTAATTACAAAAGACTCATATACTTGACTATAATAAGGCCTATTTGGACTTACGGAGTTGAGCTATGGGGCTCCACTAAACCATCGAATTCCTCTTGTATCCAATCCTTACAATCCAAAATCCTTCGTAAAATCCTCAATGCTCCCTACTTTGTTACAAATAAAACCATCCATAATGACCTTAATGTTCCTTTTGTTTCAGATCTGGCCCAATCCAGATACCTATCCTTCCATAATAAACTTCAGAATCATCCCAACCCTCTCGTTTCTAACCTTGCTTCCTCTTCAATTCCTGATAACCCTCCGAGATGTCTGAAAAGAAGATGGCCCCGTGATCTCCTAATGTAAACATATCATTAGAGTGCTACCATTGGGTAGTTACTCAGCAAGTGTTTTTCATGTCATTATATACATTATGTTCTAATTTACTAGATGTATTTATTTAATACAGTTGTAAATGTCTTTAAGAAATAAAAAAAAAAAAATATTTTAATTATTTTGAAACATAATATATCTACAAGTTCTCATAACTTCCATAATATTTTCATTGTACAATCATTTGATTGGCTTAGAAACATTTGTATTAGCATACTAGTAAACAGTTAAAGGACTTAGTTCCTTTTTTGAACGTTAACAACAATTATTAAAAAAAAAATTAACTGTAATGAAAATATTTAAAAGATTTATTTCTGATACCTGGAGACTTGGGCATTATATCTTATGAAATAATCTTACTTCATGATATTTATTTAGTGGAACTTAAATAAGTAATGTAAGATTTAATAATTGTTTCTGTTCTTTTTTTCAGAAACACAGTTGATATGTTTATGTTTTGTACATATTATGGAGTAAATACAGTATATATAATATTTGTTGCGACTACTATTCAACATGTACGTAACATTAATATTAAAAAAATAATTTCGACAGTTAAATTAATTATATTATATTACAACAAATAATCATTTTTTAGATCACTGAGGATCAGTTTCACATAAACCTCAATATAAGATTCTACATATTAGCTATTGCAATACCAGTCTTTTTCATAGGGATAATTGGAAGTATGAAATATCTGGTACCTTTTAGTGCGATTGCTAATCTCTTCTTATTAATTGGCTTATGTTTGACGTTTTACTACATTCTACAAGATCTCCCTCCTATTAGCAGTAGACCATTGGTTGCTAACATAACTCATTGGCCATTTTTTATTTCCACAGCCTTTTTTGGGTTGGAAGGAATAGGAACAGTAATTGTTTTTAAATTAATATTTATATGTTAACAAGGTTTTATTTAAGTTTCTAAATTAAATGTGGTTTTGTAGATGTTACCAATTGAAAATTCTATGAAAAATCCACAACATTTTCTAAGTTTCCCAGGCGTTTTAATTATTGCAATGGTAATCGTTGTCGGTTTGTTTTCATCTTTGGGTTTCTTAGGATACCTTAAATATGGCGATTATATTGAAGACAGTATTACACTTAATTTGCCCAGACATTTGTAAGTTATATCTTTTCCTTTTTTTCTGTCTTTACTAAAATTAATTGATCTTTAAAATATTTGTAGTGTAAGTAGTACTATTGAAAAGATTAAACAAAACAGAGACAACTTTAGAAAATCTTTCTATTGTGTTCATGTAAGCCTTGATCATTAATATTTAATAGGTAATGGTTTAAAATATACTTGGCCTCTTTATTTTATTTAAACATTGCATTCATTAATAATTAATAAAAACTAAATTAACCTTATAGAAAAGCTGAAGTGGTAAAAGTACTCGTTGCACTAGCAGTTTTATTTACATATGGTCTTCAGTTAACTGCATCAATGGAAGTTATATGGAAAAGATTAGAAAAATATTTTGATGATGAAATAAAATACATAAGATACTATCAAATTCGAGCTATGCTAATTTTTGGCACAGGTGAGATTTTATGTGTGTCAGATATTTAGGATATGTAATATAGATTGTTTAAAACTTTCTTAACATTTTGTATTTAAACTATTCAAACACTGGATCAGCGAATTATATCTTTTTATTTTATATATTTATTTATTGCCTTAGATTCAAACCACTTACAATAATAGTTCTAAACATAGATAGCTGAATAAGAAAAATATTATAATGATATTAAAAATAAGTTTCAATAATTGAAAAATACTGTTGAAAAATACATAGATCATTATTTCTCAATATATTATATTGAGTGAATATTAGGTTGTTTAAAAAGTATTGTACACTCTTATTAATAACTTTAGAAATTAATTTTGCAAAACAATAAATAAATAATTAATTATATAATAGATGAGTAAGTACATGCACCACATCAGCATTCTTGAGTTAGAAATTCTGCTTTCGTTATTAAACAAAAGAATCTTTTAAAACATAGATTGCATGATACATGCATGTCTCATTCTACCCTTTATGGTATGAGACATCATCTAAACAAACTACCTTCTCACAGGGCTACCGTGTGAAGGAAATAATAAATAAAAAAATTGAAATAGCCCTTTACTTTCTAAGAGAATGTAACTAGCACACATATTTGAACATCTTGGCAGATCTGGAAATTGATGTCTAGAAATATTTAAACTTTGTGTTGAAGTTGGATGTCTTCCACTCCCAAACTAAAGTCTTTTGGATTCTGACATGCTACAGTACATGGGATGATATGTTCTTATTAGGGGCTAAGTACTTACCGAGTGAATGACTGGTTCTTGAAAATCATTCATCGTTCACTAAAAGGATCCATTCCTCTGTGAACAACTCATCTCTAGTCTTTACTCTATAACTCTTTCATTATATCTAAGGTAGAGGCTATCACAATGTTTTTTGACTGTAAAGAGTTACCAAGTTAATTTTATTTGGTTGGACCTTTTTATGTCTATGCCAATATAACCTCCAAATGTACTTACTCTGTTCCATTGTTCTAAAATCTAAACTAACATATTTAATAAATAGCAATAGGCTTATAGGTAAGTGCAAATCCTAGACCAAGATAAGACTGAGTGTGAATGACCAAGACTAGGTGGGTTGACAGAAGACCAAGACCGACTAAGTCTCATCTTGGTCTTGCATTTGGGCAATACTAATATGTGCCATAACCAGGTCACGAAATTTCAGTCACTAATAATAGGATGATACACATCTGGTGGTACCTCTAGGAGTCATGCCCTTCTTCTTGCCAACTCTGATAATAAATATTCCTTGATTTACACTGCAATTAAAATATTTGAAGTTAAACATGATCAATGAAAAAATAAAAAAAATTAATAGGGTAAATAGTCTTAGTTGTTGGAAAAGGTTCTTTATTGATTTCAGTATTTCACAAATTTGAAAATACTGTTTAATTAATCTAATTGTTAAATAATTAAGATACAATACTAATAAACTATTAATATAAATTTACGTTTTTTAGTTGTTTTAGCTTTGGTTGTGCCAAACTTGGGACCAGTCATTTCTCTAATTGGAGCTTTTGGTTTTTCAATGTGCGGCTTTTTCTATCCAGCTCTTGTTCAAACAATAATGAAATGGGATGATGGCCTTGGGAAATGGAATTATATATTGTGGAAAAATGGTTTCGTCATCTTATTTTCTATTGTTGCGACTTTAACAGGAAGCATATCAGCAATATTCGATATAATTAAAGAATATAAATAAAACAATCACTCAATTCTTATTTGATATCTAGGTTTAATTAGTACAAGCCACAGATTACGAACTAATCTTATTTTCCATATCACTAAGAGTAATAATCATAATATAATAGATTCTTTATTTTTTTCTGAGAAATTACAGACAAATTTTTGTTGGGCTTTAAAGTCTTAGAGTAAAATCAATAGCAATCAAATAATTAATAAAAATAATAATTAAAACAAAAGGATCCATAACAGTGCTTATATTTTATATTTTTTTGTTATGATAAAAGACAATATTTTTGATTGTTTAAAAAAACAACTTACAGTGTGATCTCATTAGTCCAAAGTAATTGGTGCTAGGATTGGGCTGAATTACAAAGAGTGTTTGTGACAATTATGTTTTACAAAAGATTAAAACTCAATAAATATAGTATACTTACTTTATTATTAATATTTATTAAAACAATATATTTTTTTTTCTCTGCTTATGTTAGCTGGTTTCATTAAAGTTCCCAGCCTCGGCTGGAAGATGATTTTTTATTTAAACAGTTAGACACTAACTACAAGCTCTTTTAGTACTTTGTCCTGCATTAAAAAATTATTCGTGTTAAAATAAATTAATTTTGATATATAGCTTTTGTAACTTATAACATCTAGCGTAGTAGGTAATTATATAAGAAACTGTGCATCAGGAAATTGGACGATTTGTCACCAGATGATTGGTATCTAAGAATGTTGTCACGTTTCTTATGCAAACTGGGAACAGTGCATAGCTTATATATTTTTATAAATATAATTTTTATCAATGAATTGAGATTAGCATAATGGCTACATTAAGCCATCTGATATACAATAAAACGTGCGATAGTTGGTTTGAAGTCTTAAGTTCCGCTGCTCATGCCAGCAAGGTGATTGAGACAGAGTACTTCTTTCCTTGTGGACTAAGACTGAGCCTCGATTACATGAGTTATAAAAGCCTTTAGTCTATTTCTTATGGTGATGGATCGTTGAATGTAATCAAAAGTTTCTTTGTTTTGATGATTCTAATAACCAACAATAAATTGTTGGAACTGGCAAAAAAAATATTTTATACCAACCAATTAAATTTTTTTAGATTGATGAAGTGTTTTAATTGTAATGAATTCCATTTAATAATTGAATTTAAACATTAAATTTATAAATGTTTGAAATCTGTTTTAGAATGATCAATAAATAAATACAAATAGTCAGGATAGATCTATCCTTCTTCTCTTAAATATATTTGAAGAATAAGCGATAGTATGAAAATCTTTTTATTTGCATAAAGGAAATATTATTGTTAATAATGTCTATTTAACACACTTAACTTGTTCAGCTTGACATTTATATTGATTATGTTATTTAGTTAATAAGTAATTAGTTTCCTCTACAGAAAAATATCTCTTCAGTTAAGCTACTAAATTTAATTATTCATTAACTTGCACAGTATTGCACTCCTAGAGACCTATTAGATTAGCGTACATTTACAATGATATATTGACAACTGAACCACAAAAGCCTGTAAGAATACTTTTATTAGAAAATGCAATTTCAAACTTTTCTGCTCAATCATGGTTGGCCACACACATTGTTATAAGTAGAAGTTAAAAACATTATTTAAACATTACATCTTTGTCTTAACCAAGCAATAAAAAATGTACAAAAAATCAGGTTCAAGTTCATAAAATAAAAATACTTTTCTTACTTAGCAGTAGGAAAGTAGACTTTATTTTTATTAATTATTATTATTTTATTTGTTTGTCTTCTGTATAAATTTAGTTTTTTTTTCTCTAATGTTTTTGCAGCATGCCTGCTGATATATGATCTGTTTTTTTTTTAATATTTGATTTTGACCATAATAATTAAAAAAACATTTTCTAATACAATATCGGGTACTTGTAAGGGCTGGAACTAAGATTTTTGCCAAGAGGAGCAAGCTTAACTTGACCATTCCTTCTTTCACCTGCCGTCACCCCTTCCTCCTCACTAAATAAAAGTCAAGATTTTATATAAATATTTTAAGTATCACCAGTATCCATAATATCACCAGATAATATTAACATGTGCCATTGGCTGAATTGATGCTGAAACAAACAACAATTTTTTCTCCTCCTTAATATGGGTAGACTAGAGATGATAAGAGTCCTATGATTTAGTTCATCAATGACTCAAGGGTAGCATTCTTCAGTAGTACCCAGAAAGGGGTTTCATGGCACAAGTTACGCCATCAAAATTGTTGAGGGGAGCATATTTTGACGCGTTTTTGAATTTTTGAGGGGAACAAATTTTGACGAGGTTATCGATTTTTGGGCTAAGGGACCAGGGAGAAACATAGAACAGACTGCAGTAAGTGTAATTGTATATGATCTATGAATTTTCTAATTCCACCTTAGCTTCTTCTGTTTTTATGAAAAGGTAAGCAATAAAATATCATGGGAGGAGGGAGGTTCTTGCGACATTGACCTTGGGGGTTACGGGCACCCCTGGCATTATTCATATGAAAGAAATAAAGATGTGTAGGTCTTTATGGTACCAAAGAAATTATTTTAATTATTCTGTTTGTTAATAATATTCCTGAATCTGATATCATTGTTTAATATTTTGTGAAATCTCCATTAATTAAAATTGTCCATTACCATTGAGGAAGTATCAAGTTTTACAAGAAAATTGAAGAATAGTGGTATATCAGAAAAACGTGTAACAGTAGTGAGTAAAATACATTTTTAAAAAATCACTTAAATATCAAATTAATTTAGTTCTAATTCAGCAGGTGGTAATACTCATTATTATTTACAAATTTTATTCATAAAACAAAGAGCATATAAGTAATACTTATATATGCTAAGTGGTTTAATGATGTCATATGTACAGTTTGTTTTGCAGCTTCATTTTACAGTATAGTTTACGTTTTTACCAGTGCCGACTTTCCTCATCTAAGCTAATTGAAATTTCTCTTCATTCTTAACAACAAGAATCTCTTGTTTTATATAAAGTATTCTTTCCGAAATCTGCTAGTCTGATAGCCCTTAAAAGAACAGCTATTTCAGAAACAAAATACCCCAATCCCTTTGCTATTGGTAAACAAAGATCTCTAAATGACGCAGCCACATTGAATAAAAATACCAAGAAGGGTTGAGTAAATCCATTATAGGTTATGGTTAATAATGGTTTGAAGAAATAATCTGAAGTTAGTTGGACTAAACCAACCATAATGGGCCGCACTATACTATACAACAGGAATCTGAAATTTATATAAAAGATTACAACAGCAGAAAACATTATTTTAAAACTTAAAAATTTTATTTATAATAAATGTAAAATCAACGTTATATAATAGAATATATCTTCGGTTTATTACAAAAAGTCACTAAATGCACTTTTGATATACGTTAACTTTCAAATATGTTATTATGAATTTCTACCTTATTTATTTATTAAAAAGTGATGGTAAGGGCATAAAATGACACAGATCCTTTATTTATCATATATAGTTACACTGAGTGCACAGTTTTTTTAATTCACAATGTGGAAATTCATCAAAGTTCTTAATTATTTGTGACTATGAAATGTCATGTTAATGACTTTTTGCAATAAACCGAAATAATTCTTTTTGTTTAAATAGGTATTAATGACCTCAGGGTTTTATGCCTCTAAGCCCTAAACAAATAATTCTTTTTGTGTTAATCCAAATAGCTAAAATGACAATGTGATGTAAAATAGCAATTATGTATCCAGATAAATTATTTTTGGAAAAAAAAAATCTGGCAAGTGACTGAGGATGATGGCTTAGCTTCTGTGCTTTTCAAAAAAGCTTTATTAATGTATAAATATACCCTGATATGAAATTCTTATATGGAAGCCTTCTCTGATGGTAGACAACCCATGTTTAATACCACCCAATGGTGGAGGAATTAAAGGTACTGCATTTCTAGTAAATCCGTGTTTGGAAGATAATAAGATAATTCTCCCTAGATTGGCTTGGTGGCTACTGAAGAGAACATTCTTCCAAATTGGAGATTTATGCATTTGGTTCTAGCTTCTCAACCATAGTAAATAATGTAAAATGCTAATAGGCATAAAATACTTCCTCAAATATTTAGAGGTTCTCATGAGTAGTATCACAGTGAACGTAACTGGTTAATGAATTTTGGATGTTGGAATAAACAAGGTAAATCTCAAAATTAATTTCTTACCACATGGAAATTACTTTATTATTTCTTATTTATTAATTGTATAAATGTGATATGTATTTCATTAATGTAAATAATTTATACAGCATAAATAAATAAAACATTAAAGATATCAAGACTGGCATGCTTGGCTTGGATCTGTTTACTAGTTGCATCCATTAGAATGACATTGAATCTCACCTGTTTTTGTTATTTTAATAAATTGAAAAATTAAAAATAGACAAGGCTTTAGAAATAAAGTTGAGTACTGATGAAAGATTCACCCTGATAAATGTTGTTTCAATGTATGAAATAAGTTTTAATAGTTGGGAAGAATAGAAAATCCTTAGCATATGTTGCAATACCTCTGAAATTTCGGAAATACAGTGAAGAAAAGGTGGCAATTAGAAGTATTGTCATATTGAATGGTGTGACACTTTAATAATGCACTAAAACAGTAATGAATTTAAAAAATATAGATAGAGTCAATCTTCAATATAGAAGGCACTTCCACCTGTGATCTTGAACAGAGAATAGATGGTAGAAAAAATAATACTTATTACTGTATGCTAAATTGTATTTTCTGGAGCCACAATATACATATCCATGCTAGAGAATAATAAATGAAGTTATATTTGTATCTATAACAACACATACCTCAGAGATATGGGCCATTAATGTCAAAAACAGTAAAAGATATTATTAATTAATACCGAGATGTTCTTTTGGGGAAGAGTGGTGAGAAAATCCAGAAGAGAAAGAATGACTAATACATTTAAAGATTTTACTCAGATATTTTTCTGTAGTCCACAGGTGAAAGGGATGAAGAATCAGA